CCAGTTAGAATTGTGGCTAAGTCTATCCACATATTGTGAAATTAAAGAGTTTTCATCATGCCTTCTGACTGCTAGTTGACTAGTAGAATACATCCATGAAGAGCAACTAACAACCAAGTTCAGAGAGCACCAAGGACACCCCAATCTAATAACTGATCAGCAATAAGAAGGAAAAACAAAGGACAACCAGCAAAGATGATCTTTTCTAGAGAGTTCACCAAAGTTCAAATGAAACAATTCAAAACTATATTCACTTCTTGGCTTACACAATTTACTTCACCTTCCCTGGAGTTATGCACTAAATTTTGTTCTTATGCAATATCTTCAGAATGGCCTTCACTGCTGATGTAAGTAAATGGACAAGTTCGTAGCAGGAGAAGCAGTTCTTCAGATCATCACACCCTAAGCCAGTGATGGCAAACCTATGGCATGGGTGCCACAGGTGGCACATGGAGCCATATCAGTGGGCATGTGAGCGTTGCCGTAGCTCAGCTCCAGTGCACATGTGTGCGCCAGCCAGCTGATTTTTGGGCTTTTTGATCCCATTGGAAGTTGGGAAATGGGCTGTTTCCAGCCTCCGGAGGGCCTCCGGGGGTGTGGGGAAGGCTCTTTTCGCCCTCCCCAGGCTCCTAGAAAGCCTCTGGAACCGGGGGAGGGTGAAAAACGGGCCTACTGGGCCCACTGTGCCATCACGTGCTAAAAGCGGGGGGGGGGCACACATGCGCAGGGGCAGGGAACATTGAATTATGGGTGTAGGCACACACATGGGCAACCTCGCCGCGCTCCCCCCGCTTTTGGCACACGACGGTAAAAAGATTAGCCATCACTGCCCTAAGCCATTTCAGACTTTAGAGATCAACACCAGCTTCTTTTGACAGCCAGTTTCAATATGGTTATTCTTGTCATGAGTGATCTGGTCTGCAGGGCTCTCCTCAGATGAGGAAAAGCATCCTGGACTAAATATTACCAGAAGCAGATCTGGTACTTCCAGGAGCTAGCAAGAAGATTTAGACAGCAGCTGATTCCACCATACCAACCCAGGATCTGGCAGTCTCTGACTTAGAGCAGAAATGTCCTCCATCTGGCCCTCAAGCACACTGCTGTATGAGGAAGAAGCAGCAGAAAGGCATGGAACTGTTCAGCTATACTGAGAGCTAGTTGGTCAGTGGAGAATTGAATTGTTAGATGAACGTTGCCAAGGTATCACCCAATCTCCAGGCTGGGAAGAGAATTGGCAAATTTTCATTGACTTGGAGCAAAAGTAGATATAAACATGTAAGGTCTACTTTCTGTGGTTTTCAACAGCAGATCTTTCTCTCTTCCATTTTGCCTGCAGGACAGCAACCTATCTAGTCATGTTATGTCTGCTAGTTTCTGTTGCAAACAACTTCCCGAATCCTGGAGAGTAATTGTAAAGTTGAGATTTATTGCAACCCCTGAGTATAAAGTTTGAGATTATCCTATAATTAGAAAGATACTCTGGGTTGAAGCAGGGCTTTAGTAAATACATAGCTTCCTTCTACTATATAAGCAGGTGGGAACACATCTCACACTCAAGGAGTCATTAATCCTCTCCTTAAATCATGGGTGCAGTCCCAATGATTAATCATCTAGGACAACTTAGCGCAGCCAACTCATCACAGCCAACTTGCTGTGGGCAACTGGCTGCAGGACAACTAATATTGAAGAAATGGTGGATTAGAACCATTAAAGGAAGAATGCAAAAGGAGGGACAAAATGAAATGTAAATGACAAAAATTAAAATAATTTTTAAATTATTTTAAATACTTAAATTGAATTGTTGAATTTTTCTGCAGTGACTTGTCCTGCCATAAATTGGCCATGTCAAGTTGGTCATGGCGAGTTGGCTGTGGTGAGTTGGCCGCAACAAGTTGTCCCACTCTGCATCTAGGAAGGGCAAAGACTGAGCAAGTAAGTGGAGGCCTTTATTTCTCTAGATGTAGCCTTTCCTCGATGACAGTCATTGGGACCAGAATTTTCAGCACTAAGTGATGGGGTCCTAAAGCACAATATCACTTGACTGTGCTGTTTAGCAATGGCAGTTCTGTTAGTCCCCAGTTGCTAGGAAAAGGAGTCCTTTTAGCTGCACCCTTTGCTTTCGAGTAGCAGTTAAGTGAGGTCTATTCCAATTCATTCCAAGAGTTCTTAACCAGGGGTGGGTTCTAAATTTTTTTACTAATGGTTCTGTGGGTGTGGCTTATTTTGTGGGCGTGGCTTGGTGGGGGGTAATGTGACTGGGTGGGCATGGCCAATTTTTTTTTTTTACCTTTAAAAACATTTTTTCTACAACCTTAAGAGGTTGCTGGAAAAAAATGCTTTTAGGAGCCAGTGACGATCAGGCAACTCCGCTGGGATCGCCAGAGTCTTTTAAAGGCATTTTTTTTCCTACAACCTCTTCGGCTGTAGAAAAAATGCTTTCAGAAGCCTCTGACAATCCCAGCTGAGCCACGCGATCATCAGAGGCTTTTTAAAAAAACTTTTAAAAGCATTTTTTCGCTGAAGGGGTTGTAGAAAAAATGCTTTTAAAAGTAAAAAAAAAAAGCCTCTGATGAGGCGGGCAGGGTAAGCGAGCGGCGACTGGGCCGGGGACCAGTTGGGGGCGTGGCCAGACAATGTTATTTCTGGTTCTCCGAACTACTACAAATTTTTACTACCAGTTCTTGTGAACCGGTGCGAATCGGGAGCAACCCACCACTGTTCTTAACACACTCCAGCCCTCTACCCATCAATCTATTTTGTTTCTCCCATTTTTCTGATAAACCAAGGTGACACATTTTTCTTAGAGAAGGTAGAGGATTCTTAAGAGGACTTAGACCACTTTCATTCCACAGCTCTTACATGGCCCCACCAAAATATATTCATTCAAAGGCAGGTATCACCAGGTTTGAAGGATCCCACGAATTACAGGAGGATGAGAGCCAAGGTGGCGCAGTGGTTAGAATGCAGTACTGCGGGTTACTTCTACTGACTACCAGCAGTTTGGCAGTTCAAGTCCCACCAGCTCAAGGTTGACCCAGCCTTCCATCCTCCCAAGGTCAGTAAAATGAGGACCCAGATTGTTGGGGGCAATACGTTGATGCTTAGAGAGGGCTGTAAAGCACTATGAAGGGGTATATAAGTCTAAGTGCTATTGCTATTGCTATTAAGTGTAATTGGGATAGATAGAAGCTCCCCAGAAAACAAAACAAGGATAGGCATGCTAAGGGCTACTGAATAACAGTTTGTGTTTGCCTGCAGGAGTATGGATTTCTCCAGTGGCTTGAATTCTGAAGAGGCCACTATTTATGCTGCAGCCCTATATGAAGTAATAAATCTTCCTTGTTTCATATGAAAATCAAATTTTTTTTCAGTCATGAGCACAGCATCCCTAAATTAAGCTTTGTAATGATTCAATTTCCTGAAGAAAAAAACTATCTGAAGACTTTAAAAAAACCCCTGCCTTTTGTCTTTTTTAAAAAAAGTGGATGTAGTCTTATTTGAGGGAAATGAATGGTAATTTTAATTTGGCTAAACAATGTGACTGACAATGTAAACTGAATTTAAAAACCCCAAATATACTACTAATTATATTTCAAAATGTAGTTTTATCTCTCTTTTTTTAGTCTTCAAGTGATTTATTGTGTATCAATTATTTATTATGGAACTAAAATTGCTTCATAATCAAATCAAAATTTAAATATGGCCACTACATTCCTTAGTAATTTAAAATATTTTAGTGATGTTCTTGCACCACCTTGTGGCTATTTGCAGTAATTTCAGATTTAGTTATATAAAATGGAATGATCTATATTTTCATGAGAGAATTGTATCACAACTACAGTATCATTATTTTAGGTAACTCGACACTTAAAAACTTAATGAATTTCTCTCTATTTCACAGTAGGTCAATTGCAATTATTAGCATAAAATTCTTTCCCAGATTCACAGAGGAATTGAAATGGACAAGATCAAATGTTCTTTATTTTACATGCTGCTCAAATCATTAATACTAGTATTTTCCTAAGCATTAGGGGGGAAAAACTTTATATAATTACAGCAAACATTTATGATAAACTTTAGTAAATTTTAAAGTTGGGAAAGTGTAATGATGTTTTATAAAAAGAAATTGAGATTAGCTTTGTAAAAAGTAAATCTGAAATCTGGTTTGAGATATATCGGTGTAGCTCAGAAATGATTCTTTGAAGTCACAGCTATTTTCCCCAAATTAATTATTTTATTATAGAATATAAATAATATATAAAACACAAAAATTAGCTTGTTTAGATAATAGAAACAGGAAGCTGTAATCATTGACTAAGACAAGGTTTTCATAATAGAAAATTTATATCAATATTAAATATATTTAAACTATATACGAGCATAGTTGTTTAAATTGTAAATCTAAATATACTATTAATAATTAGTTCTAAAATGCACTGAATTATTTTATATGAAATATGTTTTTAATCTTTAAATTAAATACCAAATCTCCACTGAATTACTAAAGTTATCTGAATATAAAGAGAAAAAAAGAGAAAGGAACTGCTTCAGAAAAGTAGATATTTAATTTTCTGAGTTTATATGCAAAAAAATTTTCCTGCTTTATTTGCGTGTTCAATTTAAATAACATTCTTCTAATTAACATTTATTTTGTTCTGCAATTCTTCCATTTCTAATAAACATAGGTGCTATTTATTTATTTTGCAATTGTTTGATCTGTTGTCTTTCTTGTTACTTCTTGTTACTTTATGCTTTTGTTCCAATTCTCTTATTTTAGCATCTAATTGTTTTTTGTTGTATTTTTCTTTTTTGACGTAGTTTATATACTTTATTTGTTTCTCAAATGATAGAATGAGAGTTTTCTGGTGTCCTATGCATTTTAAAGAAGTTTGATTTCTCTTTTTGTAGGTTAGTATCATTCATCTTCTACCTGAAAAGTATTTTTTCTTCAGCACTCCATGTTATTAAAACTTGATTATGATCTGTATAAGTCATTGAAATAATATATACTTCTTTAATGCATGATATTAAGGTCTTAGAAATACATATCTATTCTTGAATATAATTGCTGAGAAAAAGATGTAATCTCTTTTTGCTGGATTATGTAATTTCCATATAAGTGTCCATGCCAGTTCATCCATATATTGAAATAGCATTTTTGGAAGCTTTCCACCTTTTCCCTTCTTGTATCAATTTGTCTAAGCTCAAATCTAAAACTCCATTCATATCTCCCAAGACAAATATTTTGCCTTCTTCCAATCCTTACACAGCTTCTCCAGGATTTTATCTCAATCTCATGGCCCATAATTTCCACAAGATGGTTGGGCAGTTACTTCTAACTCTGTGTGCAGTTCTAGGTGTATGTAGAGATATATATAGTCCTTGTTTAACAGCTGTCTCATACAGTGACCAAGGTTAGAATAGTGATGAAAAAGTAACCTTGCAACCAATCTTCACATTTAAGACCTTTACATGCTGGAAAGGAATGGAAAGCTAAAGTAAGTCATAAGCACTCTCACAGTCACTTAGGAACCCTTTCACTTAACAACCAAATTGCTGGTCTCAACTGTGGTCATTAAACAAGGATTACCTGTAATTTTAACTGCCTGTGAATTACCTGACTACATCAATTAACCCTTTTTCTTAAGAGTTGTTGTGATGCATTTAACTCCCTAATTCAGGGGTGTCAAACTTGCAGCCTCACTTTGTCGTCACGTGACATATTGAGACTTTTCCACCTTCGCTAAACCAGGGATGGGTGTGGCCAGCATGTGATGCATCTGGCCCATGGGCTGCGAGTTTGACGCCCCTGCCCTAATTGATCTGGTTAATCTTGTCATGGATACAGTGCCAAGATCTTAAAACAGCCTTCTATAGTCTGGTGCCTTCTAATGTATTGGGTCTCCTATATCTAAAAATTTCTGGCCACACTGGGAAATCATATGACTTAAAATATGAAAAATAGTATGATAATTTCATTGCAGGTTAAGGAGGAGAAAAACCAACACTCGGTATATAGGAACAGCTCATAAGTATGTGCCCAGAGCATTAAGCATTCTTAAAAGGCAAAGCCAATTTTGAAGAGGATGGAATATTTAGATCAGATTGGGGTTCACTGTGTAGCTTGTGGTTCTGACATTGAGGTCTTTTACGATACAGTACATCTCAGCGTTTGAGATGTACTATAATGTAGCCGCAAGGTAGTAGGAAAGAATATTCCATAATCTGCCAATCTTTTATCATCCTGCAGGGCTGTATTTGCTTGCCCAGTTTCCTCCAAATATAGCTCGCAGATATACCCTTCTTTCCCAAACTGCTCCTTGATACACTTGATAGGTGCAAAAGGGTTGCATGATAGAAATGCAGGTGCTCCTGTATCTTGTTTCACTGTCAACTTAATGTGTCGGGTTGGCTAAAAGAAAAAGGTGAAACAATTGACCAAAACATTAAACATCATTTATGAACACATTTATGTTCTACCAGTAACATATAATCAATCAATAATGTATAATATCTATATATTATAGATAAAACTCTCAGTGTTTCTTTGTTGGTAACCTTCAATTAACAATCATAGCATAATGATTTTTCAACCACCGCACCTAAAATCCACAGAATGCGTATGAAACCTACGACCTATTACTCCCACGGAATTGAAAGTTCCCAGATCTTCAAATCAGTTGTATTGGCAAAGTTCTGGGTGCTGCAGCTCCACCACAGTCAGCCGTGGTCACACATTCATGATTCCCAATGGGGAATCTGGCAGGAGGTTGGAAATTGCTCCCGCTGCCACTGCTGCTTTGACTACTTGTGGTCATTCTGTTTATCTCTCCTGGTAGGTAAATTTTGATTTACTATTATTATTCTTATATCACACTGCACTACCTTTCTCTCAAAGGATGGCCCAACAGGTCATAAGTTGTCTAGTATTAGGTACAACTGTCAATTCTGAGCTTCCCTTAGGCATGGAAGCTGGCTGAGGACTTTGGGCCAGTCACTTTCTCAGCACAACCCACTTTGCAGGATGGCAGGCGTATTAGGTATGTTTGCCTCTTTGAGTTATACATTATTAAAAAGGTGGGATAAAATAATGATCATATATTATTATATAAAATAGTAATGATTCCTCCATGAAAGCAGGAACGGATGGGATCATAAAATAGACAAATTAGTAGAAAATAAAGAAGCTAAAGTGCGCTGGGACTTTAGAATTCAAACAAACAGGCACCTGCCACATAACAACCCAGACTTAACTATTGTTGGTAAGACAAAAAAAATCTGGATAGTGTACATTGCAGTAAGAAGAGCAGCAGAAGAGAAGAGAAAGAACTGGAGAAAATCACAAAAATGACTTGTAAATAGAAATAAAACAACTGTGGCAAAAGAAATCTAAAATAGTACTAATAGTAGGTGCAATCCCAAAACATATGGGGGCATCACTTAAACTCCATTGGCATTGACAAAATCACCATCAGTCAATTGCAAAAGGCAGCTTGATTTGGAACAGCTTACATCCTGCGATGGTAACTTTAACACTATCAAATAACATCTGCTGACCCCAGGTCCCTGCGAAGGACTCAATTGAACAGGTAGATTAAAGTGCCACATCCAGTCTACATCTCTGGTTGATTGTACAACCAACCATAATGTGTGTTATTGATACATAGTAAAGAAACATTCTACAAGTTTATCCTAAAGTAATAATATACAAACCATAAGATTGTCCTACCCATTTTTGCTGCCTGAAAAGGTTAGGATGCCTTCTCCTATTCCAAATGCAGTTTAGGTCTTTACCTAGATTTGTCCACCCCAAAACACTGAACTTCTTATAATCTTGCAAATGTATGTATGTAGGTATGTATGCAGGGGTGAAATGCTCCCGGTTTGGACTGGATCGCCCGATCCGGTAGTGATGGCGGCGGGTGGTTCGGAGAACCGGTAGCAAAAATCCCTGCCCCCCCACCATGCCCAGCTGAGCCGCACGATCATCAGAGGCTTTTTCTTTTAACTTTTAAAAGCATTTTTTCTACAACCTCTTCTGCCGAAAAAATGCTTTTAAAAGTTAAAAAAAAAGCCTCTGATGATCGCGCGGCTCAGCTGGGATCGTCAGAGGCTTTTCAAAGCATTTTTTTCTGCAACCTCTTGGCCAAAGAGGTGGTTAAAAAAAATCCTTTGAAAAGTCTCTGACGATCCCAGCTGAGTTGCCTGATCGGCAGAGGCTTTTCAGAGCATTAGAAAAAAAGTTGGCCACACCCACCCAGTCACATTACTCCCACCACCAAGCCACGCCCACAGAACCGGTAGTAACAAATTTTACATTTCACCCTGTATATATGTATGTATGTATATATGGGATCATTGCACCGGTGTATAACTCACTTCTGTTTCGTGCTATGTAATAACAACTTCACTGAGATGCAAAGTTTATGAGATTTATATAGGGCTGGCTCTGTTCAATGAGGTATTCATATCACTGGCTCAGTTCCTCTTAACAGAATTGACTGAAATGGAGTGGGGAATTACTTTTTTACAATGGCATGCTGTAAATTGGATGGCTTCATTCATAAAATAAATAAATCCTGATCCGCACATGAAATGGAAATGGAAGTGAATCTTCCATGGGAACAACTTTGCCCCTGTGACTCCCAAATCATGAAGGATGTTCAGCATATCCTGTTGTATTGCAATTTCTATTTGAACCTGTATGATGTATTCATTTGGCCCCTCATAAAGGAATTCCCAGGGAGAGACAACCAACATGTCATTTCCTATCTTTTAGGAGACCTTAAGACCCACTACTATCGATAATGTAGCCAAATTTTGCCTCACTGCTTCAAGAGCGAGGCAACAAATATTGTACAATAAAACTGCAATCCTTAGGTACCTTTAAAATCTTTCCTCTGCTTTCCCCTTCCTTTCCTCCCTCTAATACTTTTAACTTCTTTAAATTGCCATTTGTAATGTATATTTAATGTATACATATAGACCAGTGTTTCTCAACTTTGTCAACATTAAGAAGTCTGGACTTCAAGTCCCAGAATTCCTAGGGAGTTGAAGTCCAGACATCTTAAAGGTACTAAGGTTGAGAAACCCAGGTAGTTAGTGACTTTACCTGAAAATAGGACTCATCTTGCCAATGTACAAGCGAAACTTAATGTGATAAAAAAAAAAAGTGGTTACCGTATTTTTCAGAGTATAAGACGCACCAGAGTGTAAGATGCACCTACCTTTTTTGGTGAGGAAAAGAAGAAAAAGAAATCTCCCTCTGCCTCTGAGCAACTTTGCCTCCTTGCAGCAAACAGCCTGCTTTACTTTCATTTTCGTTTTCAGCATACTTGATTAGCACAAGGAAAAAAAAATCTGCTCCAGCAATTTACCTCTTTGCAGCAAGCAGCATAGCCCTGCGCAAAACAGCTGAGAGCAAATCAGCTGAGAGTCAGAAGGTGATCCAATCAAATTGTGCTAATTAGGTTGTGCTGAAGCTGAAAGGATCTCCTTTTTCTTGCTGTTTGCTTGCAAGGAGGTAACTGCTGCGAGGCAGAGGCCAAAGGGTGGGGGCCAGTGGGTGGGCAGGGCTACATTCGGTGTATAAGACGCACCTAAATTTTCACTCCCTTTTAGGGGGGGGGTTAAGGTGCGTCTTATACTCCGAAAAATGCAGTATCTATGTTGCTGACAATGAATTCTCAGCAGCCTATTTTGAAACATGCTGCATTTTGTTTCTTTTTTTTACACAAGGAAAAGTAACTCCAGAATGGATTATTTACCTGATTTTTCTATGATCATTTGCCATTTCCCCCTCAAAGACTGAACAGAACACTAATTAAACTTTGCTTTGAAGTTGCAGATACTTGTCAAATCCATAGCTTTGCTTCATACCTGATTCCCCACCTGGAAGCAAGCAAGAATAACCCTGAAGTGCTTCTCTTGGACCTTGACTGATGAGAAAGCTGCTTAAGGAAACTACTGTTTAGGCTGGATTTGTCCAAGGCTCTCAGTCTCAGCCATTATGGCCTAGCAAGATTGGGTCTCCAAACTTGGCAACTTTAAGGCTTGTGGACTTCAGCTCCCAGGATTCAACAAACCACAGTTAAACGCAGAACTCTAATATGATGTAGTTATCCAGTTTAAAACTATGTTCAGTGGTTCAACTAGAGAAAGCCAATAAGAAACCCATTTCCCTTTAAATAAATTGAATCCTGTAAGATTTCAGAATCTTTGCATAATGCACCTGTAAACATTATACAGACCTGAAATATCCCAAGACTTAGAAGTTATGTTTTTTTAAAAATTGCCTGTTAGAAAGAAAATGACATATGCACACTACCTGCACATTCCAAGGTTTGATAGGTTGCTCATCCTTCATGCAACAAGGCTGTCTCAGGCAATCAAAAGCTTTCTGGGCCAATAGATCCCAAGCTCCCGTTTTGGCTTTGGCAACATTTGCTGTCGGATCTGCTGGATCGATAATCACAGGACTGCAATACAAACGCATACTTTTTTTTAAAAAAAATTACAAAGTGTAACACTCACAATAGAAATGAAAAACTAATTATTACAAGAACTCAAAAAATAGGTTACTGCAGAGCAAGTGTGTGCCAGGTAGATTCCACTTTTCAATATGTTGTTTTAATGTGTTTTTCTTCTTTATTGTACATAGTAACTACAGGGCAACTTAAATGTGGCATTGAGAATATAAGTGATTTTAATGTTTGCCTTTTGTTTACTGAATATCAGCAATAGAGTTCTACGTCAAAAATTATATAGTCTCTAGCGGTAGGAAGAGAAGAAATTTCACTCTTCTGTGTCTTTCATTCACGCCTACTTTGAGATAGCGGGAAAGCAGTTCTCTCCAAGTAATAAGTATATTTTTCTTGCCCCAAAATATTCAAGCGAAATGGAAGATTGCCAGAACATGTAAGCTAAATTTGTGCAATTAAGATTTAACAGGTAATTCAAGAGAAATACAGTCTGATTATCACTGTACCCAACTGAATGAAAGCTTATATAAGAAAAGACAACAAGAAAGAAGTAGTATCCTTACCGTGACTCCATCAATTTTCTTTTCACATGGAGCCCCACTTTGGAATTATCAAGAGGGTAGTATTTAGTCCAATAGAGGCAGAGATCCTGGTACTGAGTGATTAGTTTCATCACTGTGCAAAATCCTTCTTCTGTCTTGAATTGCTCTCCTCCGTTTGCTTCTTCCCAAGCATAAATTGTAAGCAATTCCAGGGCAAATTTGGGGGGAAATTTGGAGTCTGTGCTGGATTGCTGGAAAAAAATATTATCATGAGGCCATTTTCTTTCTGAATGGGTAGAGTATTTTTTTTTTTAAAGTCATTGCATTAAGCCCATTGGAGACTTACTACATTCAGTTATCTTGTCCTGAGCTTTGGCAAAAAACAGTGTTGCTGCTGGTTGTTTGACACTAAATTTCAATAAACTTGGGAGAACTCTGTTCCCTGCACAAAGATCTTAAGACCTCACATACTCCACAAATTGCACTCTTGTTTTAGCTGCTGCTTTTCCATCAGCCAATTTTAGTAGATGGATTATTTCTTTCTGCACCAACTTTTCCCCACTGGATGCTTTCCAAGGTCTCTTCCTAAAAAAAGAATTGAATCTGAATCTAACTGGTCCTATCCCAATATTTTGAATACTACAGCAAGTTGGCCCATTCTGGCTCTAGCCAATAGAATCCAAAGTCAGATGTATTGGCTTTATATCTATCCCTATGGATATTTTCCCAGGACATCCAGACCCAAAGGAAAACTAGTATTGATATAGGGAATAGGAGAAACTAGTATTGATTCTTGACTTCTCTTTGGGGGGGGGGAAACAAATGGAGGACCACAATAAGACCTGGTCCTTACCATTATTGTGGGGTTAAGCCTTAATTGATGGCAGGCCAGAAAACTTTGGCAAAGGGATACAATGTCAGAGAAATGACTGGACAACCAGACAACACTCTTGTTTGAACAGAAGTTGACCAATGTCAAGTCCAGTTTTGTAGGTGTGATCTAGGAAGCAAAGGTTATGGGTACTTCAGTATAGAAGAGGGAGTGTCAATGCAAGCACTAGAAATATGGAATCTTGAAACTGCAATTGGAACCCATTTGTGTTCATTAAGGTGAAGATTCTTTAAATGTTTTGAGTCTCCCCAGATTTTTTTTGTAGCCAGTTGTTTATGAAATATGTAACAAATCTATCAAAATTTATTTATCTATCAAATTCATATAGAGATCTACTTCACACAAGGTTACTCTGGGGGATGAAAAATAAAACCTACCATCAAAATGTATTATTAAAAAATCACTTAAAACTATTAAGTAATTTAACATATAAAAGAACATTGGTTGGTTGTTTCCTCCTGTTACTTTTCCAGCCTCCCCAACCCCACCTCATAACAGCTCACCTTCTTGATTTCTTTGTACCAGTGCTTGACCAGCCGTAGCAGATCCTTGAGCTTTGTTGGACAACGTTTCACAAAATTCCTCTGCAGCTCTGTGAACGAAGTATTGAACTCCCCTGGCAGGCCGTTGGCTTCAATTAGTTCGATATAGACCTTCAGAGGTGGGATATATGTAAAGGTTATCTGACCTAGGATGGGAGAGGAACCAAAACAAATCATCACAAGATTTTTGTGTAATATCATGCTCTGTTATCCTATTGTGAATTTTTAAGGGCATCAATAACTGTTATGTCCATTGCCATCTCTTCACTCTGGATCGGGGTCTCCAACCTTGGCAACTTTAAGCCTGATGGACTTCAACTCCCAGAATTCCCAAGCCATCTTTGCTGGCTGGGGAGTTCTGGATGACTCCACCCACAGTGAGATTTGCAAGACTGATTTCAACCCTTCAAAAAAGGCCAGCTTACAAAACAGATTCCACATGGAAACCAACATTACACTTAATTGAGATAGGCTATCATAACAAAATCTTGCAAGCCTGAGGCTTCCCATGCCTCTCTCTCTTATACCCTAGGGATCCAGAGTGGCTTCTTAATATTGTCTCTCTTTCAAGAACTTAAGGAATCCTTCTGTTTTTGTTTTTGTTTTGTTATAAATTTTTGTTTATATAATATTTTCTGAATATTCAAGGTGGTCTCCCTGCTTTCTACACTATTAGAATAAGATGTTCTATTAGAATTGTTCAGTGGAATGCTAGCAAAGTGGGCCTCTGTCTTGGGAGGGGGGGAGAGGTATTTCATAATGTGTGGACTGCTACCAAGAAGGCATGAAGGCACCAAGAAGCATCCAAGAAGTACCCTATATATTTCACCTAGTTAGGGCAAGTTGATTCTACCTGGGACAGATGATCCAGCAGGGAACATAAGGGCAAAAACACGTACAGCTTTAAAAGCAGGATCTTGAATTAGGCTTGGAAGCATATTGGTCACCGAGGGAGTCATCTCAGCATATCTCAAACACTGCAAAACCTATTTCCCATTATTAGTAATAAATTCACTACATTTTGAATCAGTTAAAAATTTGAGTTTCCTAGGACAGTCCCATGTAAACACCATTGTTGTGGTCTGACTATAGACAGTAATAAATCTCCACTGCAAGGACCTGCTGATGAATGCAGAATATAAGGACCCATGATTGGTTCTCTATAGTCATGGTGAAGGTTCCTATGCTCACCCTATATCAGAATTAATAAGGAAGTGTGTGACTAGATTCCTCACCTAAAGCATCATATGCTGGGAGGATGTCCACTTCTACAACCTCTGTCTTCTTTTTTGCCTGGAAGTGGAGTTGGAGTGAACGTGTTCCCTTCTTCAGTGGGAAGATGTCAACTTTGAAAGCAATCGTCTGGATACACCTCTTCAAATTCTTTTCAATGTCGTTGATCACTTCTTCACGCTTCTCTACTTGATCCTGGAAGCTGGAGAAGCAGCTGAGGAAGATAACCAGATCAACATCGGAACTCGTATCCAGAGTTGTTCCTTTTCCTATAGAGCCAGCCTATATATATATATATATATATTTTAAAAAAAGCAAATGTTCACTCTCTCACCATTTGGTCACTTAAAACAGCAAATATCTCACAAACTCTAAGACAAAGGAGAAACACCTGCACCTAATTGTACAGAATAAACAAGTTTTGCACTTTCTCTTCCTCTTGCGATAATTAGGTCCTTCACACCAGATAAAAATGACTGGATCATTTGACTGGATCAATCCATAGTTTGGCCAACACCTATCATTAGAATATGGTTAATGTCGAGTTTCAGGGTCACTGCATATAATGTAACACCATGAGCAGGCTCTTTCACATTCTTTACAGCAAATCGTGTTCTTGTTCCCATCCATCTCTCCCTCTGAACCAGCATTCAAGTCAATTCCTTTTTTTTTGTAAAAAGTTTTTTATTTTGTAAACAAACATACAATATATAATCAATCATTCAGTGTATCATCTGAATAAATCTTTTTTTTTCATATCTTGATATTATCATTTCATTTATTGTAACATTTCCCCCACATTTACTTTTCTATTAATACATTTATCTATCTTTTCATTTTATCAAAAATTTTTCAACAATTTTATCCCAACCCAACCTTCGACCCCCCTCCCCATCCCCCACCCCCAACTTCCCAGAGCAAAAACAGGGTATAACATTTAACAAACATACGCTAAAATATACTAACTTACTGTAAGGTTCAAAACTCCCTCACACACTTTAACTCCCCTTTTACAAATTATTCATCAACCTCCCTTTTATAAATTCTTAAAATCAATTGGGTTAAATTTTTCTTCCTGAATATAGAAACCTTTTTCTTGGTGCATAATCCAGTAACTTTAAGAATGTTACAAACATTAACAAGCACTGATAAGTTTCATTTTCACGCCCTCAAACACCATTCTTTTTCAATATTGCTCCCTAATAAAATAAATTAAACATTTATCCTCTTTAATCCTTCATAAACCAATTGCCAATTTCTAACTATTCAACATTACTCCCTTGTAAAATTCTAAATTAAACATTTTAAAACTTTAAACATTTTGTCACATATACCTTTTAAAATACTAAAATCTTGTTAAACATTTTAAAAATCTCTTAATACATCAATAAGCTATTCTTAGTTCATTTCTCAAAATATAAATTTTCAAACCTTCAGGAAGCTATCCATTAAATTTTTAATAAATCATTTTAATACCTCAATAACTTTTTAAAAGCTGTCCATTTTTAGTTAAGCATTTTACTTCAATAAAACCTTCTTCAAAATATAACCCTCAAAAGGCTATCCCCTAAATTATATCCAAAACTAAATATAATAAAACACTTCCCTTATATCATTGTCTTAAGATAAACTTAAAAAATACTAATTTAATTAAACTTTTCATCTTATTACTAAGATCCTCCCCAAAAGAAGTTAATCTTCAATTCTTCCTTTCTTCCTCCTGCTTTTATTTTCGAGAATTAAACATTTTAAAATCTCTTAATACATCAATAAAACATTCTTCAAAATATAAGTTTCAAAACTTTTTAAAAGACTATCCATTAAATTTTAAGTTAACTGTTTTAATACTTCAATAAGTTTTAAAAAGCTACCCAATTTTATTTAAGCCTTTTTACTTCAATAAAACAATAAACTTTTCAGATTTATTACTAAGATCCTCCTCAAAAAAGATTAATCTTCCATTCTTCCTTTCTTTCTATATTTTTTCCAGTCCTTCTTCTTCAATAATACTTTCTTCTTCAGCATTGCTCCTCCCCCTGCTTTTATTTTCGAGAATTTTTGAATTTTGATTTGAGGTTGATGTATCTTTGAAACTCGTTCTCTTCTTAGAATTATTTCCTCTAATTTGAAACCCCCATATCGACTCTTCCTGCTTGTATAATCAACCAGTTCATTCCTCTGTCTGTAAGACCAAAAATTGTCACGATAAAATTTATCAGTTTGCAGTAAAGAGTCTACTTGTTACTTTTCAATTAGTTGCGTGGAAGCCTCTGCCAAGGCCTCTGTTTCCACTGTGCCAACCTCCATCTCAATCCTGACAGCTTCTTTTTTATCCTCCAAAGTCACATTAGGCTGGTTAATTTCTTCATCTTTCCCAGCCAGCAAATCACTGTTATTCTCCAAATTATATTTTTGAAAAGTTCTATCAATTGATTCCAAGAGAGCAGAAGTAAAAAAGTTTAAAAGTTCTTGAAAATCCTTTACAGTCACAGCTTGTGAATTTGCTGACTCACCAGGCAGTGATCCTCCAGCCCTAATGTCAGCCATATTTCAATCTTCACTTTATATTTATTCAGCTATCAGGTCAATAAGTCCAATTAGAAATGTAAATTAGTTAAATTCAATACCATAGCCTTTTCCATTCCGCTTCCACTTTAAATCTTTTCTAAATGTGTAATCCAGTAGCTTTAACAATGTTGCAAGCGTTAACAAGCATTTTCACTAGTAAGTTTTGTTTTCACGCCCTCAGGCGCCATTTTTCCCCTTTTAAAATGGAGTTAAAGATCAGTACTTGCATTTTTTATTCTCCTGATTTGCTCTGCCAGCATCCAAAGTCCAAATTTCTTGTAATCCTTTAAATTGCATTGCTGGTGTGGTCGCGACGCCTCGGTCTGCATAAAGCAGACTTGTCCTGGATCCGGAGCAGATGAAGGGCTTTCAGGGAGCTCTCACCCTGCAAACCCCAGGCTTAAAAAAAGAAAACCTGGGGGTCTAGGGGAGCTCTCCCAGACCCTTCTGCTCTTCTCTCCCCCTTTTTCCCAGGGGGAGAGTTTCGAGCCGCTAGACAGCTGATTTTTGCTGTTCTAGTGGCTCTAACGGAGTCCTGGGACTGGCGCTCACAAAGGAGTGTCTTTTGATGCCGCGGAGCCACCGGAAGTCTACCATTCAAGTCAATTCCTGATGGTCTATCAAGGACATGGCCGATTCAACCGGAAGCGTCACGGCGAGATAGTCAGGGAATTAGTGGGCTCCAATGAGCTCTGCGAAAACCTGGATTGACGAACTGCTGCCGAGGGGTCTTCAGACTGAAACTGTCCTGTAGGGATGGGGAAGAAGGAGAGGCACCTCAAAAGACCAAGAGGAACAGGCAAGTCCCTCGAAGGTCAGAGGAAATTCTCTCTGATTCAGCAGTGGGGGCAGCAGCCATTGCAGCTGTCAAGAAGTTGGGGCAACCGGGCTAAGTTTTGAGCAGGAGCAGTGACTGGAACAGAGTTTTTGAAGCAGGGTGAGTGACAGCCAACCCACAGGTTGAAAAAACCCTTTTAAACCTGAAAAAACCCCAGTGTAAAAATAGCGGCTAATGGGCATGGGGGGAAGGAAAGAGGATGTATGAAGCGGAATTTAAAGGGACAAAAACCTGAAAAGAAAATTGACTTTTGAATAAAATTATTTGGAAAACTTAAAAAACTAGAAGAAGTAACCCCAAAATTGGCTAAAGGATTGGAAAGAAAATAAATAGATCCTTTTTTTGAATGTTAAGAAAAATAAAAGAGAATTGGACAATAAGCCCTGCAACAGAAGTGCTATATAACTAAACGATAAATAAAAGAAAAAAAGAGAGAGGGAAAAAGTATTGTTCAATTTGGACTGGGCTATAAAATTGATTTGGTATTTTCAAAGTTAAAAAGAAGAAAAGAAAAGCTAGTAAAAATTGTTAACGTGGATTGAAACAAAATGGATACTTTGTCAGACAACTAAGAAGAATTGTGGATTGTAGAGAGACATCTTCAGGAGAAAAAAGATCATTGCAATTTGGAACCTTTGTTTTGGAAAATTCTTAACTTTATTAGTGAAAACAGCCGTGAGAACTTTTGGGGAGGATTGCTCTGTCTGCAAGCGGCTTGACTTTGGAGGCAAAAAAAAGGAATACAATGAAACTTTTAAAACTGGAATAATATCAATCTAGAAAGAATGAAATGGCGCAGGAAATAAGAGAAATGATGGAAATGATGTACTTGTCATGGAAATAAGAGAAATAATTACAATGTTACATGGAGAATCGAAACTTGAAGACCCAAAAATTGAGATAGAGCATCCTCAAGCTGACAAAGAAATAAAGATGGAGAAGCAAGACACGGAAACTGAAAATAAAGAAGATAAAGACAATGAGATTAATTTTGAAAAATTAATTGAATATGTGGATAGTAACAATAAAAAGGAGGTTTTTAGAGATTACATTGGGATTAACAATGGAAAAAACAGAAAGAGTAGAAAGAGACAAAGAAGGAAAGAAGGGTGGAATAGAAAGAACATGTAAAATTTAAATGATTACACTGGGATTAACAGTGAAAAGATAAAAAAAGAGAGAGAAAGGGTGGAAAATAACAGGAAATGCAGGACAAAATAGAAGAGTCCAGGACTTTGAAATACAGAATGATTACACTGGGATAAACAGTGGGATAAACAGTGGGGAAATAAGAAAAGGAGAAAAGAGAAGGGAAACAATGGGAAATATAGGGCAAAATAGGAGTTCAAGATTTTAAAGCGCAAAAGAAAAAAGCGGAAAGAAAAAGGCAAAAATAAAAATGAAAAGGGAGAAAAAGAGAAAGAAATGAAAGAGAAATATGCTGTATATACTTAGAATTGAAATATGAATTGTAGTAAGAAATAATGAGAAATCATATGATTGTAAAAATGAAATGAATAATAATTGGAATATTTTTATTTGCATTTTTGAAATTTAGATAATGTTCCCTTTTTAGAAATATGAATAAGTTTAAACTGTAACAATTGAAATACCTTTAATGGTATATGGTGGTGACAGTAGAAATGACTAAGTTGTGGCTTTGAGCAATATATGGGGAAAGCTATATGATTAGAGGATAATAGCTAGAACATTTTAAAATTTAACTAGGGAAATTGTAATAATTGAAATATTTTTAATTGTATATTGTGGTGAAAGCAGAAATGATTAAGTTGTGGTTTGGAGGAACATACGGGGAAAACGGTTTGGTTTATTATTATCATGTAAACATAATTGATTTGTAAGAAGTTGGATTGCATGAAAATTATTTGGTTTATGATTAATATACAAAGAAAAAAGATAGTTATATAACTAACTGATTTATACTAAAATGTTGGATTGTATTATCAAAGGAAATTGATGTTATAAAATAAGTGGGTTTATTATTCCTATAAGAATTGAACAATTGTAACATTACATAATTAATTTATGGATGGATATAAAAATAAATGACAATGGGAAGGGGTATAACAGAATAGAAGGGAAAAATTGAATTTGGTTAAGATTAGAGATGAGAATGAAGGGTAATATTGGTTTTTTTTTAAAAAAAAGATAAGAATAAATATCATGGCAAAAAGGAAGATATAGAAATTGTAAATTTAGTTGAAATGACTAAACGCTGTTTAAATTTGTGAGTCGGCCAAATACTCTGTTCAGAGAAAATACATTGTATGTTTGTAGGTGTGTTTGTGTAAAAAATAAAAAATAAAACTTTTTATATATATAAAAAAGGACATGGCCACACTGGCATGAAGTCTGGCATTTATTTCCTAACTTCAGCACCCACATTTATTAAGGCAGGATATATATTCAGTATTTGAATTCGCAATCTGGAAAGAGGGTTTAGAACTTGGTACCCTTAACTAAGTTGGCACAATGGCCTAAAAGAGCCAGTGCTACTCTATCTGAGACATTATCTTACTAAGAGTTGGATTAGTTAGACCAAACAAAGCTCACCTTTATTGTCTTGATCACCCTGGCATCCTTGTACAGATCACACTTTTCTTTCAGGAAAGAACAAATTCTGTTGACGGCATCACAGACATTGTCTTGAAACTCCTTGCTGGGATGGAGGTTCGTACCAATATATCCATCAAGTCTTTTAGAGGGGGTGGAATACAGCTTCATTCTCTCTGCCTGGTACTCCATTTGTGCTACAGGGATGAGCCACCCGACTGTATTTATCTTATTGCCACTCTCTGATGTCACCACACAAGCTCTTAAGGTGGACTGGACTGTGCACAGTACAGTCAGTTTTCTCAGACATGTACTTTCAAATAACTTATATAAAAGCTGAATTGAAATACAAACAATAATTTCATCGTTCCCGTCACCCATCTCCTCCCACTTATGACTGTATGACTGTAACCTTGTTGCTGGTATCCTTACGATTTATATTGATAGTTTCCTGATTGCTTATTTGTACCCTATGAATATAATTTAATTTAATTTAATTTAATTTAATTAATTCAATTTATATGCCGCCCCTCTCCGAAGTCTCAGGGCGGCTCACCATACATTTTAAAAAATCATTATAAAAAAACATTTAAAAATTAAAAACATTAAAAACTCATTCACGCCATTCATGGCTGGATCTCGTCAGATCACAAGAGCGAGATCAACGGCCCCAGGCCTGCCGGAAAAGCCAGGTCTTCACCGCTTTTCGGAAGGCCAATAGGGTGGGAATGGTCCGGACTTCAGGAGGTAACTGGTTCCAGAGAGCTGGGGCAGCCACAGAGAAGGCCCTCCCCCGCGGGCCCACCAGCCGGCATTGTTTAGCTGACAGGACCCAGAGGAGACCAACTCTGTGGGATCTTACCGGTCACTGGGAGTTATGTGGCAGAAGGCAGTCTCGAAGATAACCTGGCCCTGAGCCATGTAGGGCTTTAAAGGTAATAACCAACACCTTGAATTGTGACCGGAGACCAATAGGGAGCCAGTGCAGCTCGCGGAGAATTGGTGTAATGTGGGTGTATCTAGGTGCACCCATGACAGCTTGCGCAGCTGCGTTCTGGACCAACTGTAGTCTCCGAACACTTTTCAAGGGTAGCCCCATGTAGAGGATTAAGTGTTGTACCTTATGATTCTTGATGAACGTATCTTTTCTTTTATGTACACTAAGAGCATATGCACCAAGACAAATTCCTTGTGTGTCCAAGCACACTTGGCCAATAAAAAATTCTATTCTATTCTATAATAATTTCAACATTGTGAAATTAATGTATGGAAAGCAGCAAGAGAATATTTTGTATCTGAATAAAACAAAAAAAAATATTTGTCTATGTTGGGAAAACCTCCACTCTTCATGGTAACTATTATCAAAAATACTGGAATCCTTTTAACATAACAAAAGGTGCAAAATAACTTTTTACTTACTGTTCTTGCTAATCCAAGTTCTCTAACTCTACGTATATACCAACTTTTTTGGGGGGTGGGTGGGTGAGTCCTAAAAGTATTTTCATGGACTACCTTAAAAGTCCGAGGTCGGAGACAATTTGAAGGCGTAGAGGTTTCGTTTTTCCACGCGCGAAACTAAAGTGCAGGAAACGAAAGTGGTGTCCAACGGGGGGATGAAAGGCCTGGAGTCCTCCAAGCGAGGATTGGTGTAACACTCCCAACAGGTGGAGTCTTCGGAGACACAACCTCTCCGTTTAGATCCCAGAATGTCCAGTTCAAAGAAAGTTCAAGCAGCGGGCATGGAAGAGCGGCTGTCAGGTTTCCCAAACGCTTCCCGCATTCAGGTGCTAGGACTACCGCTCCCATCGTCCCCACCCAAGACAGAGAAAGGGCCAGTGGTCTCAAAAGAAAAACATATTGACGAGGAGTGCCAAGCAAACTAGTTAATGTCGCTGGGATTCTCAGGAACCAACCAACAACCCTATCGCGATTAGAGTCACTCCCTGTGTTAGAAACAGAAACTTAGAAAAGGCGCGCCAATTCCTAGCGGATTGCAGCGCCGCCCCCCCCCCCCCCCCACGTCCACCCCCGATTCAAGGAAAGGAACCAGGTTGCTCAGCCTGACCTCTGCAGTTGGATCGTCGCCAGGCGAACTTTGCCAGTTTAGAATCTGTTGGATCCACTGGTTCCCATTTGTGGCATGGTGTGCGATAACAAGGACGGCAGCCGTGCGCCCTTCCCTTCCCATCATTGGGTGTGTCTTGCATTTTATAAATTAGATGCCCCCGGATTACTTTTGGATTAAATAAAATCCTGAGATCCGTTCCGCAGCTAAGGCGTGGAGGAAATGAAAGTCTCGAGTCTCACCCCGGGCTAGAACGAGGAAACCCGCGAAGCCAACGGGTTGGGGGCGATTTTCAGTGCCTTGGTAACGCTCCGCTCCTTAGCAAATACCTAAGAGAACAGAGAACTGGCCGGGCGAGTTGGGCGGAGCGCCTCACAGGGCCTCTAGTGTAGCCCCCATGTAAGGCACCGATTGGCCTCGTATGTGTAGACTACGTACAAAACACAAGAGGCCGATCTCAGATATGATACCCGGAGACATTAGATATAATTTCTCTCGTCAGACGCTCCATTTCAATTCCTAGTGGTAGGAACAAGAATGAAATATATATGAAATAATTCTCATAAAACGAATTAAATTGTGGGAAAGTCTTAATTCTGAATACCTGGCTCCAGCACTGTCTTTGCCTATTTTTGAGATGTCGCTTGGACAAAACATATCATGCAATAAATGTGAGGCTGAAGTTGAACCCTGTGGGTGACGTCGCATTGAGGCTACACAAAAGAGTTTAACATTCCAAAACAATATGTAGGTCAAGACAACTCTTCCTCCTAAGGTAATTTTCCGGGCAAAACTGGTATGTATGTATGTATGTATGTATGTATGTATTTATTTATTATTGATTGATTGATTGATTGATTCGATTTATATGCCGCTCTTCTCCAGAGACTCAGGGCAGCTTACAGTGCGTTAAGCAATAGCCTTCATACTTTTGTATATACCTGCTTAGTAGGGTTTTTGCCCCCCCCAAGTGGTGTTCTTTTTTATACAAAGCCAGCTTATTGCCCCCACAATCCGGGTCCTCATTTTACCTACCTCGGAAGGATGGAAGGTTGAGTCAACCTTGAGCCTGGTGAGATTTGAACTTGCAGTAATTGCAGGCAGCTGGTGCTACTTAACAGCCTTTAGTCTGCTGCGCCACCAAGGCTCTTTCCTTCCTTCCATTTCTTTATAAAAGTTGACCGGATGGATCACTGAACTTCTCTACCTGGGACAGACTCTGTCGGTACCGGAAAGATCTTATCACATGCATCTCTGTCTTGGATGGCGCCTCCTTTCTGGTCCAGTTGCCTGGTGAAGCCACCACATTCTGCCTGGTGCCAGGATCTGACCTCAGTATTTAGAGCTGGGTGGGTCCAAAGGCATTTCAAAATCCCTCTGAAATTACAGTCCTGGGGAAGGAGAAAATTTCCCAATAATATCTCAAGGACAGCAAGGGCAAGGGCAAGGGCATTGCTATGGGAAAAGCCTCCTGGGACATCTTTTCTTACAATTTAGTTGAAGTATAAAAAGTCCCCAGAGTTGCAGAACCTTGAAGAGATCATGGTTTTATGTGTGTGTGTGTGTGTATATATATACAGGACATTCAAGAACAAGTTTTGGACACTTCAATTTTCTCTTTAAGAAGATGAAATAACAACTATTTTTTATAAAATTGAATGAGAACTGGTAGAATAAAATCAGCACTCACACGGCTTTATAAAATGGATAGTGGTTAATTTTTTTTCTGGAACACTATTCCAGAAACTCAAGTTTTTTTCCTCGTAAGGCCACAAGGACTGCAATAGTGTTGAAACATTTATTTTTCTTTTCTTCTGTCTCTTCATCCATCTTCACAACCACTTTAGTCATTAATGTGACTCTTCTAGGCTTAAAGTTCTTCAGAATCTGAGACTAGTATTTTTTTTTTAAAGATGATCCAGGAACCATAAGGACTAAGGAAGATATTTTCCCAAATCACTATGGTAAGAAAATGATATTTCTGATTTGTGTTTGACATTAGCTGTAAAGAACTGCAGCTCCAAAGTATTATTATTTAACGCGACTAACAATTCATGGAATCATTTCTATTTTCAAAATACATTTAAGTCCTATTTGCAGTTTGTGTCTCATCATTTAAAGCATTATTATAATGCTTTACTTCATTGCAAAACAACTTAATTAAAAAGAAAAAAGAAACTGTTAAGAAAGAAAAAAAAACCCAAAGCACAGCAATTTGTAGAATATCTGAGATTTGTTCCAACTTCCAAACATTTTATGTACAATATTTTTTCAGACTTCATAGGTGAGTGGAAATGCTTTGAGACACAGCAGCAGACGTCTCTCCAAAGGAATAAAAGGCGAAATAAATAATTATAAAAAGCCCTTCTTCTGTCTCTGGACTCATCAAAGCTTCAGATGGCTTGATCATCTCAAATTTTTCTCACTTATTCAGGGGCAGCTTTACCCAAGAATGTAAAACTGAGAAACTGGATTTAGAATTTGCATTACATTATTACAAGTCTACAAGGCCATTTTAATGCCTAGTTACTAGTTCTGTTATATCTCCAAACTACCGCCCAGTCAAACATCATGTCACTCTCACTCACTCCCCACACCTTCTTTGGAATTATTCATTCCAGTCTCATTTAGATTAGATAGGGAGTCACAACCTTTGAAACTGCACACCAGAGAAACTGCTTATACCTCCCTCTCTTTTTCTCTCTCCTTCCTTCCCCCCACTGCAAAATTTATTGTCCATCCAATTCCAGTGCACTTGGAGTATTCCAGACTTGGTCCTCAGATCTCAGCCCAATCCATTTTGCTATTTCTTTCACATCAGTACCTGCACCTTAAAGTTTGCTTTTCTGCAGAATAACAAACAAAATAATGATCAGGGCTTTTTTTTTTTTTTTTTGAAAGGCAGATTATTCCATGTTTGCTGATAGGCTAAAAATGGCATGAACTGTCTGAGTGCCACACAAATTGCTCCAAAACAGGCTTGGAAATGAGCCAAGTGAGCTCTTGGTGGCATCAGATCCTCCCCCTCTCCCCCCAGAATTACACTTGAGCTTCGATGGCTAGTAGCTCCTATCCCCAACCAGATTGACATAGGAATCAAATGCTGGTGGAAAATAATCTGTCTAGCAGGAAGAGTGGGAGACATACTGTACAATTCACAAAAGGGCAGCTGGTTTTCTTCACATACCAAAATGATCATGGTCGATTGCTAATCAAGGTCCAATATCTGCATGCTTTCCAGAACAAGAGAGAGTCCCCCATAACA